CAGAATACTATATGAACTTTTTTCAAGCGGATTCTTGATATTACTTAAGAAAATTACTGCTCAAGACGCTAGGACCAAATGATAGATAAAATTGGTCTAGATATTTGGTATCCGAATTGATGAATACTATACCAATATCGAACTTATGTTTGATATTCATACCCAGTGCCCTAAAATGTCTAACAAACAAATTATAGCAATGCAGTGCAGAAACCACCAATGAGAATCTCCACAATTGCACCATTGTAGTTAAAAGGTCGACATTTCAAAATAATCAGCATATGGATTTCTATATGAAAGTAAAACTGTTAGCAAAAGATAAGGCAATCATCCAGAAAATAAATGTTAAAATACCTGGCGAAGATTTATCAGATGCTCAAATGAATCTTTGATGGTGTTTCCAAATGATTCATTCTTGCAAAAGCTCTCTTCCCAAACTATGTCAAGAGCAGCCTTGAAGTCCAAAAGTGATTGTACCATATCTTTATCTTTCTCTTCATCCATAACAATCTTCTGCCCAGTTTTCCGAATGTAGGAACTTAGCGCCTGCCTCAGAGACTCAAGTGCATTGACCCTAGAAAACAGGGTGTACATCCTCCGCAGGTCCTCAGTACGACGTCCATCCATTAATGGTGTGAAACCCTGAGGGATGTTCAGATATGAAATAAGATTAAAGCAAAGCAATATTTGCTGATATGCATGTAACCAAAAGGATGACAGGAGATTTAAACCTTATCAAGAACAGCAAGTATATGACGCTCGAGAAGTTGCTTTTCAGTAGTTGATATCAATGGCTTCCTGGTTGCTGCATCTATGTACAGTATGCATCTTTCATTCTCTTCATGCAACCTTCCCTGCACCAATCACCAGTAGAAAATTTAGAGAGACCAGATCAACTAATAACCTCTACGGTAGCTAATCATAAGGAGAAACTATAAAGTCATGCAAGGCACCTCAACATGCTTCAGATACTCGGGAACGTCATACTGCTGCATGTATTTCATTCCTTCAGCAGCATAAAACTCAGAAGTACATTCAAGGAAATGTTTTTCAAAGCTTTCTGAATATATTCCCAGTGCAGTAAACATCTTTAAAAGATGGCTTAGTAGTGTCCTATTAACAGCTTCGGCTAACCTGCACGACCAACGCCATGCATGAAAGGTCATTAGGTTCAGGTGAAAACATGATCATATATTACTTACAACATTGCTCATTTATCTTGAAATTCTACCTACAACTAATCATCACTGCTAGACAGGAATAGTTCATAGACCATCTAAAACTCCAAAGCAAGACCAATAAGGAAAAGGGTGGAATTGTAAAAAAATTTACCTTTCCTTTTCAATCATTCTTAAGAGAGCAGTAACAGTCCTCTGCTCAACTTCAGGGGACAGAGAAAGATGCTTCCGAAAAAGCTGCAGGCCCATCTCCCATAGCGAACGTACATTCGGGTTCTGTATCACATATTTCCTATCCAGAGTCAAGGCTATACTACGGATCATTAGCATCTGGTCACAGAAATCTTGCCAGCATCTCTCAACGAGTGACAAGAAAACAGACAGATCAGTGTCTTGCCCAACTAAAGACTGCAACGCTGCAGAGATGTGTTCTTCACATTCCTTCTCGATCCGCTCGTAAAGCTTTCCTTCCAGCTTATGCAAGCAAAGGTTATCAACAGCCTGACGAAACAATCAACATTATCAGTACGACATTTTCACAGCCTGACAAGAAGCGCCTGATAAAGAAAAGCTAGAAAATTTACAAGTAGCCTTACTTGGTAAAGCTTTTCGAGGTCAAAAGAAACAGGCTTTTTCAGGAATATAGCCCTGATAGCTGACTGCAGCGTTTCCCAGGTTATCTCCTCAAAGTTTGTTGGTAGACTTGGTTTGGCTTCACATGTATATATCACAAACGGTACAATCAGAAAATGGTTTTATCCACATACTCACAATTGAGAACATTAAGAAGAAAGCTTGTTCCCACGGCAAAAACCAAGCTTCGTGGAGAAAGAAGATTTACAGTGATTCCGGATCTTAAACTCCCAGATCGGCTCAACATAGAGATTCAGACTTTAAGAAATACCAAAACCCAAACATCACAATCAACAGTCAAGCTCGAATTACAGTGAAATTTCATACTAAACCCCACAACAAAATCCCCATCAATCGCAAGTAATTATCCAGCAAGCCTATGAAATAAACCCTAAAATCGAGAAATCAATCGTACAGAGAGTCATTTCCAATCAATCAATAGCATCAATTTACATAGTATCCAAACAAATCCTAAGATAACTCGGGAAAAAAAACATAAGAACCATCGAATTACGATCAAAATCGCAGAGAAATCGCAAAAATTAAACACCTTTATTGAGCTTGATGACGAGCTTCTTAGTGGGCTGCGGCAGTGTAGCCTTTTTCCGAGAGAGATTCGCGGCGGCGGGAGTTGTATCATCCTCCATGGGAAAGCCAACCTTGTCCCCGGCGTTAGGCTGCGAGGAAGGAGTGTGGAGGCCGTTTTTGGCCTTCTTCATCGGCGGCGGAGAGGAGTAAGAAGAGTCGGCGGAGGCAGAAGAAGCGGCGGAGCAAGTAGAGCGCTTGGTTGGAAGAGACATGAAAAATCGGGAGAGAGGAGGTGAAATCAACAAGAGGAAGAAGACATGTCCCAATTAAGCCTTAACCCTTTCGAAGAAAGGCACTGTGCTCTCTCTCTCTCTCTCACAGACCGACGCGAATTTCGCAAAATTAGACCGATAAAATGGAGATAATTTGTTTTTACATGAAAAATATAATTATTTAACTTATACGTACTTCTGTATAATAATTTAATTTATACTATGATGAAAAAAAAATTAATTTTTTTATAATTAGTTTGAAAGCTGGTTTGGATTTGTATGTACCAGTTGAAAAGGTAATACATCTTGATAAAATCATATATTTTTCTTTTCCTTAAATATATATGTATTGATAGAAATATATAGTACGTTGAAAATTATATATATTGATAAAAATATATATAATATATATTGATAAAAAAAATTATATATATAAGTTGATAATTATATAAACCTATAAGTTGTATTGATAAAATAAGAAAATTTGCAGATTTTTTCAATTAAAAATTCACTGGAAATCATATCTCATTTATTCTTTCATGGTGTTGTGTTTACACAATGCACTAATTTTCTTAAGTACAAAAAATTACACACGTTATAATTGCTTAATTACGCGTAGTCGGTTTAAATGTGTTATTCACAGTATTTTAGTTCTGAAATTTTTAACGTTCGATATATGGAGTGATATGCTTCTTGATATTGATTGTTGAAAGACATGAATGAACATGGAATCATCAATGGAGATATTTGTCAATATGATTGATGTTATGGATCATCCACTTCTTGGTTTAGGAAATTTAACATTTATTAGTGTCTGGATATTGTACTAATTAAGAGGAGCGTCGATGAGGCGAAAGAGATGTTACATTCTTCATCACGTGATTTATTTCATTAATCTTCTTATGCATTCAATGTTCTTTTAGATGGATACAATATTAATGGTGTAGAGAGTCGTTATGGTTATAAACTTATAATCCTAACACAGTTTGTTTCTTTCTCTTTTTTTTTTTCACTTGAGAAACTTAATCAACATAATTGGTTCGAAAGGTCATTTATGTTTATGTTTTGATGGCTTGTGTGTAGTAATGGAAATCGAGCTTGTCTAAAGCTAAAATGGTGACTTGTGTGTGATGTGTGTGTGTGTGTGTGTGCAGAGAGTCTCTCTCTCATTCAGTTCTTCATTAGATATTTTTGCAAGTGCTACAAAAAAAAGTTCTTCTATTTTTACACCAAACATGTTATCTTCTGTTTGCGTTTGATATTTGGATTTCTTTTCTCGTCTGTTACATCATTTGATTTTGTTTTTATTCAGTTAATTATTATATTATCTTATCAATGATGACAAACGAATCTAATTTTCATGTAACAATTCGAAATTTGGACAAACAACTCTAAAAACAATTTCAGAATAGATCATTCTAAATGCTATAACAAAGATCTATGATAAGCGGTTCCACTTATATCAGATTCATAATAGATAATTTTACCCTAAACACACAATACGGTACTTGCACCACAACGAAGAATTTCTGATAAATTTGCATCGTTTAAATTGGAAAATTCACATGTTTATAATTAAATTTTAATTTGGTGCAGAAATATTGATAAATCATTAGCCAATTAAAAACGTTTCATTAGATTATTTTATACTATTTAAATGTTGTATCAATCATAACAAATGATTTTAAGCTGAGTTTGTAGATGATAACAGCTAAACCAGTCAACATTTTAATATCTTATCAATCATGACGAATGAATCTAATATAATCTTCTCTAACCATTCGAAACACACTTGAATAGCTCAAAAAACAATTTCAGAACATATAATTGTATATGCTCTACAAAGATCTATAATAATAAACCACTACAAATATATCTATTTGTAGCATGATGGAAAATTTCTTATCAGTTTTTACCTTTTTAATTTGCAAAATTCACATTTTTTAAAAAAAATGTAAATTTGGTATATCATAGAACCAAGATCAAATGAGTTTCTTCTGATGTATACTATTTAGCAATATATTTTTCTAGATGGTTTTTTTGTATAATATTGAGCTTTGATTCATTTTGCATTATAATTTATTATATTTTTTTTGTGAAACGAATTTTTCTAATCACATATATAAAAGAAAAAGTCTACTCTTTGGATCATAATTTTCAATATGGGTTTGGCATGATTAATAATAAAACCTTATTTTGGATAAATGGCTTGCTATTTTAAGAAAAATATAATACTCTTCTGCACCGTTTGATAGAAATAATAGAATAGTAAATACACCAACACGCTGAAGCACCGAAACACACTATTTGCTTTATCATGTGAACATGGGGGAGCCATCAGCCATTAAAGAATATATATCATATCTGTTTAACTGTTTTTTTGTAACCTCTTTTTATTTATAAAAATGGCTTTCAAATATTTACATCATAATAATATAGAAAATCCTTCTTATATAATATTTTTCTCAGTAACGCTTTACCATAAAAAGCTGCTGAAGTTTCTAACTTTCAGTTTATTTCATCTGCACAGACTCAAATGAAGATCCTCCCTTCCTTCTTCTCCACCTTCAACACTAAAAAAATTGTCAAGAAAATAAAAAACACCAAAATGAAATAATAAACCATAAATCTTTTTTTTTCTTACTCTTCGATGGGAAATTTCATCAGAATCACCTCATCTCCGCCTCTCTATGTCCGATCAAAGCTCCTCTGTTTTTCTCTTGTCTACTTATTCACTACACTTTTTCTGTTTCTCTACGTCTCTCTCTCAAGAAACCAATGCATCTTTCGGTATTCACCTTTCGATCCGATCCAAACCAAAATTTTCTCTTATCCTTCTTCTTACGGTGAACACAAATACGCTCTTCCCACTCACCGATCTTCTTGTTCGTCCCCTGTTTTCTTCTCAGGTAATTAATTTAACAAAACAAAAAAAACATTAAATTCTCTATGTTTTTTATTTTAAAAAAATGAAGAAATGTAGAATTTTCTCACCTTTTAATATTTGAAGTTTTAAGAGAATCGATTACCGAAATTGTGATTCTTTTTTCCACCTTTGGGTCTTGATTCTTTTACATTTCGTCCATTCTTTTAATGAAAGTCAATTCTTTTAATGAAAATTAGGATATCACATTATTGGCTTTTGTCTGGATAATGATTTGGAAATTGTATTTGTTGTTTGATGTGAATCAGATTACTGGACAGTGTTGAAGGAGATACAGAGTATCATCAGCGATTCATCATCATCGGAGAATTTGAGATACATTAATGGAAAAAGTGAAACTTTCGGTGGAAATTTCAGCACCCAGAAGAGATTTTCTTATTTCAACCACTCGAACAATAACGTCGAAGTTCCATGCGGTTTCTTCAGAGATTTTCCGATCAGCAATTCCGGTGAGATATCTAACTAAAAAGATAATGATTATTCAAGAAATCCAAGAAATCGTCTTTAGTCAAAACTCAAAACACCGAGTAAACCGGAGATAAACAGGATCATAACAGTGTTATTATAAGTTTGATTTTTTTTGCTCTTTTTTCATCTTTGGTTTATATGTTGAATTTTACTTTTGTTTTGTTTACAATGATTATTCAACAAATTTTATTATGCTTTTACGTAACGCTTATTTGTATTTCCTGTCACACTTGGGACCCCAAGCGGTTTAAATCGACAGTGATAAGCTCACTAATTTATTATTATATTTTTATTTTGCTCTATATATATAAACTATTTGGATTTAACTTTGTTGTTCTCCTCTCTGATTTTGGTAGATAGAGCTGAGATGGAGAAATGTGGACTAGTAGTTGCATCAGCCATATTTAACGACCATGACAAGATTAGACAACCAGTGGGACTTGGAATTAAAACCCTAGAAACCGTTTGCTTCTACATGTTCATCGACGATAAAACCCTAAACTCTCTCTTCCACCACAATGTCATCCCAAGAAACAATCCAAGAGATTACAAAATCGGAGCATGGAGAATCATCAAAACCTCAAAATCAGAAAATCTATACCTTAATCCGGCTATGAATGGGGTTATACCAAAGTATCTAACACATAGATTGTTTCCAAACTCAAAGTTTAGTATATGGATCGATGCAAAAATCCAGCTCATGATCGATCCGCTACTTCTGATTCATTCGATGTTAGTGGTTCCTGAGGCCGATATAGCGATATCTAAACATCCGTTCTTTGTAAATACAATGGAGGAGGCTATGGCTACTGCGAGGTGGAAGAAGTGGGGAGATGTCTATGGGCTAAGGATGCAAATGGAGACTTATTGTGAGCATGGCTTGAAGCCTTGGAGTTCTCATAAGTTGCCATATCCCACAGGTAAATAAGATCTTCCCTAAATCATAACTAACAAGCTTTAAACCTTTTCAATGTTTACTTAGTGATGGATTAGTTGTATTTGCTCGTATTTAGGAAGGTTAGGTAAAGGATGTAAGGTCCTATAAAAATATTTTAAAAATCTAATAGAGTAATCTCGAAGTATAATTGTTCGTTTAGTACATAGATACGCATAATTAATTAGATAGTGGATTCAGTTGTGCAAGCTTATGATGATCATTATTTTTCAAACATCGGTATGATTTTAGACTTTAACTATGTTTTGTTGTGAAGTTATTCATGAAAAGTGCATTTTACAATAAAACTAGTTTTATTGTAATAACTGCTACAATAATCAAAAACTTTTTTTTAAAAAAAAACAGTGAGTTTCTTTCAAATATCCACAAAATTTTGGTTTAAGGTTGAGTTTCTGTAAAATATTAGTTCGAGTCTCCATTCTTAAATGTTAATAGCTAAACATCTTAGAAAAAAATATACCTTTCTTTGTCTAGAATGTTGCGGTGTACTCTTATTACTTTGCAATAAAGACTAAAGAGTCATGTCTTATGCATGAAGATTGGCTTTAGTTGGTTAGATATGTTCTTTCTACTTGTGGCTTTTCAAAATTGAAATCACGGGTAATCATGAAACCATACTTTCAATGATCAATTTGGAGAGAGATTACTTGATTCTTTAGTAACTGATCGAGTATTATTGATAATTTGATATTATTAATTTACTATGTAGTTGATTATAGAAGCTCAGCAATATATGCATAACAAAACTATTGATCTTGCTTAACTTCTAGCTGCCTGTAGATCTTTTTTTTTTAATTATTTGTTTGTCTTTTGGACATTCCTTTAGAAATAAAATAAAACCATAAGTTGCAATCAAAGAATTACGACGTGGTCCCATATAACACATCAATGAAAAATATGAGATAGCGAAAAGAAACGCTATAAGACTAGATAGCGAAAAGAAACGCTATAAGATCAAGTGAGGGTCCCAAACGCAAGTTTGTTCGATGGTTTTGCTCTATCCAGGAGAAGATTATTACGTCATTTAATATTAGACCAACTATGTTTCCGTTTTCTTATAAAATTGGATGATGCTATCTTTAGAAGTTCATATCCAGTGGATCTTATAATGTTCTTACAACTTCTGATTTGTCATGTTAAGTGTAACGATTAGTGTGACATTTGAATTCAAATGACATTTTGTTAACTTTTTGTATTTGAATTAGATGTACCAGACAGTGCATTAATACTGAGAAGACACGGAATAAGAAGCAACCTATTCTCGTGCTTCATGTTCAACGAGTTAGAAGCGTTTAACCCGCGAGACCAATTGGCGTTTGCGTTTGTGAGGGATCACATAAACCCTAAGGTGAAGATGAACATGTTTGAGGTCGAAGTGTTTGAACAAGTAGTTGTTGAATACAGACACAATCTCAAGAAGATCGAGACATCTTCATACGAGCAACAAGAAGAAGAACAGAAGCAAGAATCGTTGATGAGGACAATACAGAAGAGAAGAAGATGGTTAGATCATGAATCTTGGTCTCTCAATACTAGTAATTGTAAGAGTTATCTCATGGATATGTGGGGTGAATCTCACCATTGATTTTTTTATTTGTTAAAAGAAAAGTTATTTTCATGTTTTTTTTAATTATTAACAATAAATTCTAAATGGAAATGTACAAACTAATTATGATAAAATATGTAATTTTTTACAATTTTTTCAAGGATTGTTATTACTAATTATTAATAAGAAAAATAAAATAAAAACTGAAAACTAATAAGATACACAAATTTTTAAGAGTGTTTTTATATATGAAAATATACAATATAAATATGTGATCTTCTATTTGTATAATTATTAAAAATTTGTATTCACGCAATAGTGTAAAGTAAAAAGTAAATATAGAGGCAATTTTTCAAATTTTTTTATAAAACAATACATATAATATTGAAAAATTAGAAACAAAGAATTATGATAAAAATTTGATATTTTTAAACAAATACTACAGGAAATATATATAATAAAAATAATACAACGAGATTTTATAAGACATTTTATAAGACTACTATAGTTTCTAAAAAAGATTCGCAATATTAAAAAGTATATTACAAATATAATAGTTAAAATATATAAAAAAAACTTTGATACCTTAAAAATACATATATAAAATATATGTGAATTTGTTAGATTACATAAATATATTTCTCTGAAATTAGAAAAAAAGAATCCAAATATTAGGTACTTTAAATTTATAAACAACTAACAAAGAATATTAAAATTTGAAAATAACATAATTAACTATAAATATATAGATTTTTTCATAAACAAAAAAATAAATAACATAATATATATTAGTAAACAAAATGCATATAATTTTTTTATCATAAAAATATCATTAGATTTTGGTTGAATAAATTTTATTTTTTTGATGTAATGCATATAAAACAATCTTGTAATTAAACTATTCATATTTTGGCCACAACTAAACGTTCAAATGGCATCTTTTACTCAAATTCAATATCTGAACCTCGAGCACTTTTAAACACTTTGTATCATGATAACATATTATGATAAATAAATATGTTTATGACAAAAAAAACTCCACCATAGTAAGAAGTAAAAGTTAGATCCAAATGATTTTTTGTGGTTTTGAGCAATATAAATAGTTTTAAAAAGATACAAATAACAATTGTGATGAAAAAACAGAACCATTTATAATGAAAAGATGCAACTATTTATAATGAAAAGACGCAACTACAAATTTTGAAATAACACAACTTTTTAAAGTGTAAAATGCATTAATATGAACCTTATTTTGGTTGAATAAATTTTATTTTTCTGATGTAATGCATGTAAAACATTCTTGTAATGAAACTTATCATATTTTAGTTAAAATTAGACCTCCAAATGGAATTTTTTACTCAAATTCAATATCTGAACTCTATGACTTTTAAACACTTTGTATCCTGATAATATGTTATGATAAATAAATAAGTTCACAACAAAAAAACCCCATTATAGTAAGAAAGTAAAAGTTAGATCCAAATAATTTTTTTTTCTGTGATTTTGAGCAATAAATAATTTTAGAAAACACAAATTGCAGTTGTGATAAAAAAACGCAACCATTCATAATGAAAAGATGCAATCATTTATAATGAAAAGACACAACCACAAAATTTGAAACGACACAACTTTTTTAAGTGTAAGTGGTATTTATTCGGATTGTTTGCGACAAAAAAAGACCCACCATAGTAAAAAAGGTAAAAGTTGACCCAAATGATTTTTATTCTGTGATTTTGAGCAATATAAATAGTTTTGAAAAGACACAAATAACAGTTGTGATGAAAAAATGTAATTATTTATAATGAAAAGATGCAACTATTTATAATGAAATGACGCAATCACAAGTTTTGAAACGACACAACTTTTTAAAGTGTAAATGGCATTTATTCGGATTGTTAACAAAAAATTAAATAACATAATATATATCAGTAAACAAAACACATATAATTTCTTTATAATAAAAATATTATTAAATTTTGGTTGAATAAATTTTATTTTTCTGATGTAATGTATGTAAAATGTAAAATAATCTTATAATGAAATGCTCATATTTAGCTAAAATTGGACTCCCAAATGGAATCTTTTACTCAATTCAATATCTGAACTTCCATGACTTTTAAACATTTTGTATCCTGATACTATGTTATGATAAATAAATAAGTTTATAACAAAAAAACTCACTATAATAAGAAAATAAAAGTTAGATCCAAATGATTTTGTGGTTTTGAGCAATATAAATAGTTTTGAAAAGACACAAATTATAGTCGATGAAAAAATGCAACCATTCATAGTAAAAAGATGCAACTATTTGCAATGAAAAGATGCAACCATAAGTTTCGAAAAGACACAATTTTTCAAAGTGTATTTGACATTTTTTTATTTGTTATTATAGATAGATTTATATTTTGGATGCATTATGTTCAATGGAAAGCAAGAGTTAGAGAAATATAACTCAATATAAAATTAATATTGTAATTAGAAAGATGCAGATAAAGTAAAACAGATGTGTTGGAAGCAAAGGGAAGAAACGAAGAAAAAAACAAAAAATGATTTAGCTAATAAGCAGAGTTCAAGACCGTTGACAAATCAATCCTCTTCCTCAAAAGCCGTGACGGGGAAAGTACGTGACAGTCCCGTCGGATTAGCAAAAGTAATTTTCGTCTTGTCTTCATCGTTAACAAAGATCTCAGAGATCGTAACCCAAATCAGAAACTCCTTGCTCTTGATTCCGGTGAGCTGACGCATCCGACGGTTCTCAACGAACGCAGTGACCTCAGAATCGTACGATACGTTTCGTCCGATGGCTTTAAACCGATGCTGGACCTTGTTCTTGATCTTGATCCAGACGTAACCGGTTGATTTGTTGTGCCCAATCTCTGTCATGTTGTCTAGAGGGAGAAGTCCTTTGGGAAGATTCATGGTCGACAAGATCTCGTCGGCTTTTTGTTTGCAGACGGATCCGCCATTGCAGATCTCAGCTCCTTCTCTTTGGTCTGATTTTGTTTCTTGTGACGACATTATAGATTATGAGATTCGATGACATTTGTGACTTTTTGTGGGTTTTTATATATAGGTGAGTTTCTGAGAATTTGGGGAGATGAAATTACGAGATAGGGTTTCTATAAGACGAGGGAGCAAACCGTGAAAGCGAGGGTAATATAGGCATTGTAGGGAAAATAAGATGAGTAGGTGAAGCAACAGATGTGCGTATTGCGTAGGTGGGACGCATGCACTTCGTGTTCGTGGAATATATATATTATTTTTGTGATGTTTTTTAGGGTTTTTAGCCTAATAACTATATCGAAAAAATATTATATAACTATGTTGTTTAAAAAAATTAGATAAGTAACCATGACTCACATAGAAATTACAAAATATTTATTTAAGAACTCTCAAATTTATAGATTTGTGTAATTAAGGGTCCAAATTTTCAAATTTACAACTAAATTTCAAGTTTAAAAAAAAAATTGGTGTAGGGTCCAACATTTGTTTGGGTAGTAGATTTTTCTACTTTCAAACATATACTATCACATTTATACCATAACTAGTGAATTCTATACTATTTTAAAATATGTATTTTTGTAGTCTAATTGTAACTGCAATACTATACTATTCATAATCTTGAGCATAATGATCGGCGAAATGATATACAGTAGAAACTCTATAAATTAATATTTGATAAATTAATAAATTCGATAAATCAATACTTTTGCTCGGTCCCGAGTTGAACCGGTTCAAAATTTAATATAAATCGATAAATTAATAAGATAATAATTTTTTTTGAAACCTATGTAAAATATAGTCCTATTAATATCATATACAATAATTTTATATAAATATATAATTATGATAATCTATTAAAATATGAGTATATTGTTATTTTTATATTTTTATCATTTTCCTTTAAATTTATAATAAGATTTTTGGCAAATGTTATAATTTTTTCTAAAATTTTAGTTTTAATTAATTATTAATAAACAATTTATTTTATCTAAAACCAATAAATTAATAACTCTATAAATTAATCCCCTATATATTAAAAGATAAGCATTTTTTAAAAATAACCTTAATTTTGTAAAATATTACAGTGGTGTCATTTTGCTGATGTGTCATCACCAGAATCATTTTCAGCAAAGTTATAAAAATAAACTTCTGTTAATAGATTAATTACATGTTATGCCACTCACAATAATTTTGTTATACATTAGTTTATATCAATTATATTGATGATGATTCATCAAGATATTCTCTTTTTCTATTTCTTACCAAAAATATATAATATTAATTATTTCATTAAATACTATATTTTATCTCTTATTTTTATAGAAAAATAAATCATCACATCATTCATATAGTAAAAAATATATACATATATATATATATATTTTGTGTTGTAATTCGAATTTCATAAAACAAATATAAATTACTTAAATGATTAATAAATAAAAATATGTTTTAAAAGACTAAAATTGAAAATAAAGATGTATAGATAGATGATTCATAAATCAATATAAAAATATACATAAATGACAAAAAAAAACAGGAAGCTTAATTTAATAGATATTATTATTTTTAATTTATACAACAAAATAACTTGGTAAAAAATTAAAATATTTTTGTAAGGATATTATATAATAATTTTATTAAACTTTTTGATATTAAAAATATTTTTATTAAATCAAAAAGTTAAGAATGGATAAGCATTGACTCAATTATATATAATTTTAGATAATTTATTAAAAATAATAAAAAGATAATTTATTTTTATATAATCTTTATGTATATTTAGTATTTAAAATAAATTTTACAGTAATCTTTTTTTCTTAAAAGTTAATATTCTTATGATTATAATTTTTGCGGATTAATCTAAATATGCATTTACATTCGTATTAAAAATATTAAAGTCAATTTTAAAATTTTAAAATCAAATTTTATTTTTACAATTTTAATACTCTCTATTTCAAAATATAAGTTATTTTGTATTAAAGCACAAAGATTAAAAAGCAACTTTTCTTTTAAAAAAGTAATCATTTAGTATATAAATTAAATATAATTCAACTAATTATGAAAAATTGAAAAATATAATCAGTCACATAGTATTCATTGGAAGTAGTAAAAAATATAAAAAACAACTATATTGTAAAACAAAACAAAACCTAAAAAAAATTTAAT